TAGAATTAGTTGTTATAAATTGAAAAAATGATCACAAAATTTTCCCCTCCTTGATGCATGTCCTTTTGACGTGTGATTTTATAGCCCTTCCCCTTGAGAGGTCTGAGTTCTTTATTTCTCTACTGCTGAATCAACGTTGCTCATGTAACTTACTGTGTTGAAGAAACATTTGCAAACATGGTGCAAGCAGAGACTTGCAAAGAACTTGCCCGTTGTGATATTTTTTCTCTTGATGCCTCTGGACTCATTCAGCTAACATGTGAACAAGTTCAGGCTTGCTGAAAGATGAGAGGCCACAGGGAGAGATGGCCTTAATAATCCCAGCTGTCTAGGACAAGGCAACCACAAACTGGTCAGTCCCAGTCAACCCACTAGCTAAGGGCAGACATAATGAACGCAGCCAATATCAACCGAGCTTATCTCAGAGCAGAAAAACAGCCTACCTGCAGCAAGTTCAAATTGCCAACCCACAGAATCAGAGCCAAAGAAATGGTTTTGAGGAAATTTGTTACACAGCTAAAGTTAACCGGCAGAGTGGCTATAGCTTGTTTTACTTGGCTTTGGAGAACATATAAAATGAAAATACTTTTATAAAAGTCCTCTTATCTCAAATTTTATAGGTTACAAATGAATTTTGGTAAGTAGCACTTCAGGAAAAACATACTCTGTTCCAAATGTGCCACTGAGGGAGAACATTTCAAATCTTGTAGAAGCAGTTTCTACTGGCCTTCCACAAGTTGCCAAATTAGTAGTTTTGCACTTCAGCATTATGCAGACCTATGTGGAACAAACACAGATAAAATACAATGCCTTACATCTAAGTTACTTGTACCAGAAATGTTGCCTTAGTTTTTAACCACAGTGAAGAAAAAATTTTCTTCCTCTGAAATGGGATTTGGATCATGTTTGTTATAATTACCTACTTTATTAAAAATGGCAAGTGATTTGAGAATCAACCCACTTCCTAGATAACAAGTAGATTAAGAGAAAGAAGTCTTTAGAATTAGAGTTAAATGACTAGTTTGGTATGTTAGATGATGACATTGAGCTCAAGGAAGTGGAGATCTTTGGGCAACAATAGCACTGAAACTGAAAGGATATTAAAATTTTTACCACCCTTGAACCTCACCTCTCTTTCCAATCCTTTCCTTTAAAAGAAGACAGTGGGACATAGAGTATAATTTTTAAAAAAAGACAAAATCAGAGTCGACATTCTATAAAAAGCTTTCATCTTTAAAATTTGTCATTTGAAAGCTATACAAGGCCAAGCTCACACATGTAATCCCAGCACTTTGGGAGGCCAAGGTGGGCGGATCACTCGAAGTCAGGAGTTATAGATCAGCCTGGCCAGTATGGTGAAATCCCATTTTTACTAAAAATGCAAAA